GAGGAGGAGGAGGGTGGCGGTGGTGGAGGAGGAGGAGGGGGAGGGGAAGGGTGGTGGTGGTGATGATGATGATGATGATGGTGATGATGATGATGATGATGCTGATGCTGATGCTGATGCTGATGCTGATGATTATGATGATGCTGATGATGATGCTGTTGATACTGATGCTTGTGATAATGCTGTTGCTGCTCATGATACTGCGCATGTTGATGATGCTACGGATGCTGTTGGTAATGCTAATGTCTATGCTGCCGCCGCAGATGATGTCCATGCTGATGAGGGTGGTTGGCACGCACTCTGAGTAGGATGGGTATGACGACGATAATGATTTGGATGAGGATGGCATTAGTGTGATGGCGGTGATGGTATGGCGATGACGCTGTCAAGGAAGGACGGGATGCGGAGGAGGAGAAGGAGCACGAGAAGGAGAGGCGGGAAGGGTGGCCTTGAGGGGGCGATGAATTAAGATTGTGTTGATGCTGCTGATGACGAGTGTTATCCAGATGGTGACGGTGATGTTGATGATGATGATGATGATGATGATGATGATGATGATGATGCTGATGATGGTTGTGGCGGTAATGCTACTGAGGCGGTTGCTGATGTTGTTGGTGGTGATGCTAATGATGCTGCTGATGCTGACGATGATGCTGATGATGACGTTGATGCTGATACTCAGGAGGATGATGCTGCTGATAGTTGTCATGGTGATGGTGGTGATGATGGCGATGATGATGATGATGGCGGTGATTCTGATGATGCTGACAATGATGTTGATGATGGTGTTGGTGGTGATGTTGATGATGATGTTGACGATGCTGATACTGCTGATGATGCTGATGATGCTGATGACCCTGATGCTGCTGATGATATGACGCTGATGATTGGCATGGTGACGGTGGTGATGATGACGAGGATGGTGGTGGTGGTGGTGATGATGGTGGTGATGCGGGCCATGATGCTGATGACGATGCTCATGGCACTGATGATGATGCTGATTCGTTTAAGGTACTGTTGATGCTCATGGTGGTGCTAACTGTGAACATGCTGATGGTGCGGATGGTGTCGCGGAGGATAATGGTGATGTCGATGATGAGGATTCTGATGACAATGATGATGTTGTTGATGCTGATGCTGATACTGATGCTGGTGGTGATGACGATGATGATGGTGATGCTGATGGTGCTTCTGTTGATCGTGAATGATATTGATGATGCTGATGCTAATGACGATAATGATGATGATGATGATGATGATGATGATGATGATGATGATGATGATGATGATGATGATGATGATGATGTTGCTGATGATGATGATGCGAGACTGATGATGCGGCTGAGGATGGGGCTGATCATGTTGATGCTGACGCTGGTGTTCGTGGTGCTGGCGAGGATGGTGACGATGGTGATGCTGATGACGGTGGTGATGTTGTTGATGAAGATGATGGTGGTGATGACGAGGATAATACTGTTACTGCTAATGCTGATGATGACTATGGTGTCGATGATAATGCTGATGATGATGATGATGATGATGATGATGATGATGATGGTGATGGTGATGCTGATGATGATGCTGATGATACTGATGATATTGATGCTGGTGATGATGATGATGGTTATGAAGACGATGATGCTGATGATGGTGTAGATGATGATGCTGATGATGATTATGATGATGATGATGATGATGATGCTGATGATGCTGGTTCTGCTGAAGCTGGTGAAGGTGATGAAGAGGAGGATGAGGAGGAGGAAGAGGAGGACGAGCACACGAATTCGAGGAAGCCTGCTTCGTTTGAGGATGATGAGGAGTAGGGGAGAAGAGGAAGGCAGATGAGGGCAATCAGGAGGTCGACTGCGATATTTTTCGGAGGGGAGGCACAGGTGCAAAGCGGAGGGGGGAGTCCACGGTTTGGATTATACGATACACACACATATATATGTACATATATATATATATGCATATCGGGCACAGATCGTACAAGCCAGCATGAGAACATATGGGATGACGCCCGAAGTCCGCAGGGTGGGCAGGCAGTATGGATGGGTCGCGGGTAGGTCGCGGGTGGGTCGCGGGTGGGTCGCGAGGTGGATCGCGGGGTCGGTCTCGGGTGGGACGACGACAGTAACAGCACCAGCAACAACAACGAGCAGAATCCGCGCCACAGAATTCACTTCAGCTACGCACCAAGGGACGGTTTAAGAACGCTCGGCCCTCTTACTGTGATGCATGTCATAGTTGCCGCTTTTTGGATGGAAGTGCACATTGTCTGGACGGCCCGTTTGTTATTCTTCTGATCCGTTGGTTACCCCAGCGGCTTTCTTTGCTTGGGGTGTGATTGGCACACGTTTCGGACAGTTCTCGACGAGCAAATTGTGTATGAGCGCCGATGTGCTACTTGATCGTTTTATGTGTTAGTGCACATGTATATAACTAAGGCTCTCTCTCTCTCTCACTGTCTGTTTCTTTGCCCGTCTCCCCTCCTCCCTCCCTCTCTTTCCCCTTTCTCTATCTATCTATTTCTCTGTCTGCCTTTCGTCATTCCTCTTCCTGTGTATCTTGCGACAGGCAGGGGAACAGGAATAGCTGGACGAGGACGACTGGACGGACGGAGGAGAGTGAGGAGCAGGATAGTGGCGGAAGCTAGCTTCGATGCCCCAGCCCGCCGGCCGTTTTTGTCACAGGGCTTCCGGCTCTACATCACCACCAAGCTGCCGAACCCGCACTACTCGCCAGAGATCTGCGTGCAGGTCTCCCGGGTCTCCCGCAGCGGGGGCCCATTGGAGGAGAGTTGGTCGGGACAGTGTTAAGTCGGGCATGTCCTTCTACAGGAGGAGAATTCAAAAACAGTCAAAACATTAGTCTGGGGACGATTTCTTGACATTTCTTTTTCTCCTCCATGTTTCAATGTGTTGTCCAAAATCCGCCTGTGGGAGGACATGCCCGACCGGGCTTGGGGCGCAGGATCCTGCGGGATCCTGCAGGACCCCGCAGGAGCTTGCAGGATCCTGCAGAGATGCTCGCGTCGCGACAGAGAACGCGGCGGGAGGCGTTTGGCCAGTTTCGGCCTCGGGGGCCCTCGCCGGGCCCCGGGGCCGTGTCAACAACGACTCGGGGTGAAACATTGGCGGAACGGTCGGGCTTCCGGGAACCCCGCGCGGAGGAAGTCAAGACATCGCATGTAGAAGCCCGGAGGCTTCTCGTCCTTGCCTCCCGGAGGAGGGCCAGATCCGCCGCTTAAAGCGGGCCAGGGTGGACCCCCCTGGAGGGGGCCAGGGATTTTTTTTTTGGGTTGACTTTGGCCAGGCGGTGGAGTCGCCGTTGTCTGACCTGGCCCCCTCTGGGGTCTCGGCCACGCGCAGAGGGGGGTGGGGGGAGGGGGGAAGGCTTCTCAGAGGCACCCCTGCTTCTTGGAAGGCGCGGGCCGTGTCTGTAGATGCAAGGCCGGCGCCTTCCAAGAAGCAGCCTCCTTCTAAGAAGCCTTCCCTCCTCCCCCTACTGTATCCCCCTCTGCGCGCCCCCTCTGGGGTCAGCGCTGACGAGGGTGAGCCCTAATCCTCGGGGCCCCCCCAAGTCGTGTGGTGACCACGCCGCGTGGCGAGGCCGTGGGGATGCGGGGCCGCCGCGCGGTTTTGGGCCTCGCGCAGCTCTCCGAGGGTGCCTCGGACGGCTGGGGCCTCCTCCTCCTCCTCCTCTGCCTCCTCCTCCTTCCTCCTCGCCTCCTCCTCCTCCTCCTCGCCTCCTCCCTCCTCCTCCTCTGCTCCTCCTCCTCTCCTCCTCCTCCTCTCCTCCTCCTCCTCCTCCTCCTCTGTGTGGTGACGGGCCGCGCGGTGAGGTCGCTGGGGATTCCGAAGCCACCACGCGGGCCGTCGCCACACGTTTTTTTTTTGGGTGGCCCCGCAGATCCCCTTTTGGCCCACCCGGCGTGGGGGGCCCCACGGGGCCACAGCCGCCCTCCCCTCGTTCCGCTGGCGCGTGCTCGGGAGCTGGTTCGTGACCGGCCTGGGGGACGCGGCGTGGCCCATGGCCGACCAGGGTTCGCCTCGAGTCGGGAGCGTCACTCTACAGGAGGGATATTTAAAACATAGTCTGGGGGCGATATTTTGAGCATTTTTGTCAACTTCGGTTCTTTTTTGACTAGTGTGGAATTGTCTTTCAAGCTCCGCCTGTAGGGGATACGCCTGACCTAAGGTTAGCGCCGGGGGCGTCCACAGCCGAGTGATGAGGGGTGTGGACATCATGGGCGGGGCCAGGAAATTCCCCAGGCCTCAAGAATCTCTTGTTTTTTTCAAGACGTCCCGTGTCCCTTGGTCCCCCCCCTCGTCCACTCACATGCCTCGGGCCGTGCAAAAAGCAGCCTTCGACGCGGCATCCCGCGAACGCTGGGTCGATAGGGCGCCGAAGTCCGGGTCCAGGACTGAGGGGCCAATGACAGGCCTTTGTTCAGCTCAAATGAGACGCACCCTTGGGGCGGGATGGGCTCAGGGGGGACGCATCGACCCCGAATCGCCTACTCACCACCGACGGGGGCCTGATAGCCTGCCCTGCCGAGGAACGTGTTGAGTCGCTGTAGGCCTATCGCCGATCTATCGGCGATGTATTGCCGGTTTCATGTTGATGCTTCCCCCATGAGCTGGTCCCCCCCACCAGTCCCCCACCTCGAAACACAGCCCATTCCTGCACAGGCCCAGAGAGAGCACCTCGAGCCCCCCCCCCCTCCGCCGCGCCCTCGTGGCGCGGCGCGCGCGGAGCCGTAGCTGTGGCCGTAGCCGCAGCCTCTTGGACGCCCCTCCTCCTGGACGCACCCGATATTGATGTAGTAAGTAAGACCCCACGCCGCTGAGGTGACGCTGCTCAACTTCATGGTCACGCCAGACGGCCTCCAGGAGCCACCCGCGCTCCCATGCCCCCCCCCCGCCCTACTCCGGCGCCCCTGCCTCGCCCCTCCCGCTCCTCCGCTCCCTGCGGCATCGACCCCCCTCCCTCGAAGACCGAAGTTTTTGTTCGTCCGCGGCGAGGCAGAGGCAGGCCGCTCCGGCGCGTGGCTGTTCGGGGCAGCCGGAAGGCCAGCTGTCTGGCGTGCAGGAGGGAGGAAGACGACGAGGGCGGCCGCGCGCGGAGAGGGGGAGGGGACAGCGACGCGGAGACCAATCGCGGCACCAACATCAGAGCGTGAATTACCTACCCCGCTTTCGCTTCCAGGCAAAACCAAGCCATACCACGCGCCTCCTCGTCAAGCGGCCTGACCAGCACAGGCTGCAATTTGGCATCGTTTGGTATCTCTTGGAAGCGAGGGTGGTCAAAAGCGAGGTAGGTTAATTTTTTCCCTACAACACGACTTCTCTCGCAGGCCCGCGCAGAGTTCTCTTTGGATCGGCGCAGGGCCCCCCCCCCCCGCGGCGGGCCCTGCCGCGCCGCCCCCGGCCGTCCTGCCACCGTGCCAGCCCAGCGCTCTGTGTGTGGGGACACCTCGGGCTCCTCCTCCTCCTCCTCCTCCTCCTCCTCCTCCTCCTCCTCCTCCTCCTCCTCCTCCTCCTCCTCCTCCTCCTCCTCCTCCTCCTCCTCCCCCTCCTCCTCCTCCTCTCCTCTTCGCTTCCTCCTCCTCCTGCCTCCTCCTCCTCCCCCCTCTCCTCCTTCCTCCTCTCTCCTCCTCCTCCTCTCCCTCCTCTCCTCCTCCTCCTCCTCCTCCTCCTCCTCCTCCTCCTCCTCCTCCTCCTCCTCCTCCTCCTCCTCCTCCACCTCTCATCTCTACAGTCGGGGCGCTGAAGAAGGAACCCTTTCGTTTGGGGGGGGCTCCGTGTTCCTCAGTTGTTTTGCAGTGCTCCTTGGGTTTCCCTGAGGTTTTCCATGGAAGATCGGAGTTGATCTTGTGGGAAGAAGGGGCCTCGTTCCTTATTTAGGGTTCCTTAGGTCAACGCCCCAACTGTATTCCTTGTGGGGCTCTCATGGAGATGACGTGGTCCGTCTTGGGGCTGCCTCGGGCGTGTCGGGGCCTCCTTGGGACCCTCTTCGACCCTCTTGGGCCATCTTGGTGCCGGCTCGTTTCCCTCTCGGCTTCCCAGGGAGTCTGTTCGGGCTGTCTTGGGGGCGTCTTGGGGCCCTCTGTGGCTAGGATGCCCCTCTTGGGCTGTCCTGGATTTCTCTTTAGCTGTCCTGGGCCGTCTGAATGGCTTGAGACGCCTGTTGGCTGCCTCTCTTTGGTACCTTCGAGGCTTTCTTGGAACCATCGTGAGCCGAGAAGTCGGGGAACCGCAACATGTACTGTGCAAAAACGAAGGCGATGAGGTTGGTCTTCCCTGGGAGTCTCTTGGCCTTCTCTTCAATATCGTGGCAGCTTCTTGATGCCCATTTGGCGCCCCTGCGATCTTCTTGGGGTCTGTTGGGTGTCTCTAGAGCTAATGTTAAGTCGGGCATGTCCCTCTACAGGAGATCTTCAAACATAGTTTAAAGATAGTCAGGAAACGACTTTTCCACCATGTTTGAATGCTTGTTGACTGTTTTTAATTTTTCGTCCAAAACCCTCTGTGGGAGGACATGCCCGACCTAAAGCTAATGGTGGGCTGTCTTGGGCGCCTTGGCCGCCTGCCTAGGCTGTCGTGGAAGTCTTTGCAGCGCCCTGGGGGCCACAGAGGCGCCTGTGCAGGCGGCGACCCTCGTGGGTGTTGTGGTGGTGCATGCAGCTAAGCGTGATCAAGACGATGACGACGACGATGATTATGATGATGATGCTGATGAAGATGATGAGCATGCTGCTGCTGATGATGATGATGATGATGATGATGATGATTATGATGCTGCTGCTGATGATGATGATGGTGATGAAGCTGATGTTGATGATGATGATGCTGATGGTGATGATGATGATAATGATGGTAATGCTGTTGATGATGCTGGTGGTGGTGATGATGATGCTGATGATGGTGATGCTGATGATGATGATGATGATGATGATGGTGGTGGTGTTGGTGATGATGATGCCGATGATGATGCTGATGCTGCTGATGATGCTGATGATGCTGATGATGATGTTGATGTTTCTGCTGCTGATGATGCTTATGATGATGGTGATGCTGATGATGATGACGAGGATGCTGATGCTGCTGATGATGCTGATGATGATGCTGATGCTTCTGCTGCTGATGATGCTTATGATGATGGTGATGCTGATGATGATGACGAGGATGATGATGATGGTGATGATGTTGCTGATGCTGATGCTGATGCTGATGATTATGATGATGGTGATGATGATGATCATGCTGCTGATGATGATGATTTTGCTGATGATGAAGATGCCGATGATGATGATGCAGATTATGCTGATGATGATGATGATGATGATGAGGAGGAGGATAAGGATGATGATGCTGATGATGATGATGATGATGCTGATGTTGATGCTGATGATGATGATGATGATGATGATGATGATGATGATGATGATGATGATGATGATGATGCTGATGATGCTGATGATGATGATGATGATGATGATGGTGATGGATCATGAGCTGCTGATGATGCTGATGGTGGTGGTGGTGGTTGTGGTGATTGTTCTGGTGATGATGATCAGGAGGAGGAGGATGTGGGGAGCGGGCCTTGGAGTATTTACAGGAACCCTACTCGACATCACTTTGTATTCTAGCACTCAATCGACGTGCCATGCGGCACCGTTTCGCTTCCTCTGCCGCGGATTCTACCCCAGCATGCTGTCTACTGTGAGCATTCTGGGCTTGTCATGGCAGGGCTGCATTCGCAATCTCCAGAGTATATTTGGATTGCAGGCCCTTGTCTAAGGGATCATGTAGCTGGCCTGTAGCCTGGAAGGTGCCGCCCTTTTCGGCCACTATTGGAGGGTGCTGGCCCAAGCCACGCCAGGACCCTGGATTTGTTTACCACATGTTAAACACATCGTAGTCTAGACGACGCTGTCTCTGAGCAGGACCGCGTTCGTACCCCCGGCAACAGCATGGCCGACACTCTAGCCAAAGAGGCCGCGGGCAAGCAAGGCATGGATCTCACCACCCGTTCAGACACCGCGATTGCTCTTGAGGAGTTTCTAGAAGCCGTGATTGGGGCTGGGAGGGTGCTTGATAGCTGGCCTCTTGCACGTGATTGCTAAGGTCCCTCGCCCCCCCCCTCCTCTCCGCCCCCGTGTCCCATCCCATACCCCTGCCTGGACTCGACAGGCAAGGGCCATCGGCGATCGCTGCTCTCCGTGTTTGAAACGCATCGCCCCTCCTTGCAGGAGGCCGGGCTCTCAAGAATGCCCTCAGTCCCTCACAGAGGCAATCAGTCAGCGCCGAGCCGATCACCATTCTCTCGATATGGGATGGATTGAGGGGAGCAGCATGCCAATGTATAATTGCACTCCTGCGCGGTGGTTACAACATCGAGAGGGGCACCAAGCTCCAACAGCCCGGCCTCGGCCGTCAGCATCTGGCGCGCCCCGGGTCAGAAGTGAGTTCCGCAAGCTCCAGCGGGCGTAAATGCCTGGGACCACCCTCACCTTCTCCTGAGTCACCCATTTGAGTTGATTATTAACGGTCTGAACGTCCAGACCGTTATGCCCAGCCCCCATATGAGGTGATCTATCGTAAAGGAATGGGGCAGACATGAGGAGGAGGATGCCGAGGAACAATGATTGTTGCGTCCCGTTTCAGGGCATTTTCCTGTCCCAGGGGATCTGCGCCACAAGGGACCTGGCAAATGCCTCGGAGTCGGTTAGCACGCCGCATGGCACAGGTGCAAGTGCAGGCGGAACGTCCCATAGTACATGCACTGATTGGGACAACGACCTGCTTGGATGGCGGGGTTGATGTGGACTCAGCCCCCGTAAATTGTGCTGATGTGTGGGTTCAAGTTGAGGCATTTTTGTTCGGGGCTGGACCACATCCTTGTCAGGCGCGCGTTTGCTGTGCTCGCACTGCCGAGCTTTCCTGTACTACCAGTGCTAGAAGGAGGAGCAGGAGGAGGAGGAGGAGGCGGAGGAGGAGGAGGAGGATGCCCCTTGGATGCCTCCCAGAGTCTCTTCGGATTTCTTTGGGCGGTTTGTTGGAGTCCTCCTGAGGCGTCTTGGAAGTCTCTTGGTAGTCCCGGGGGGCCTCTGGGGGTGTCTTGGGTGCCCCTTGGGGACCTTTTGGAACCTCTTGGGGGACTCTTGGAAACTTTCGGGGCATCTTGGGCGCCGCTTGGGGGCCTCTTGGGGCCTCCTGGCCAGCTCTTGGGAACCTCTTGGGGCACTCTTGGAGCCTCGGCGGCCATCTTGGGGCCACTTTGGAGGAAATCGATCAAAGGAGGGGGGCTCCTTTGCCCCCCCCGAGGAGGCCAACATGTTGCCAAATCTGAGTAAATCATTGAGTTTGGCCTTCTCTCCGAGGCCCCTCGGGGCGTCTTTGGTGCTTCTTGGGGGCCTCTTGGGGCCTTTAGGGGGTCTCTTTGGAGCCTCTTTTGGGGCATCTTGGGCACCTCTTAGGACCTTTTGGGGCCTCCTGGGCATCTCTTGGTGCCCTCTTGGGGCACTCTTCGGTGCCTCGGGGGCCATCTTTGTGCCATGTAGGAGGAGATCGATCAACGGACTGGGGCTGCTAAATTAGGTTCTCCCCCCAGGAGGCCAACATGTTGCCAACACCCTAGTAAGGTCAACGATTTTGGCCTTCTCGCCGAGGCGTTTTTGGACGCTCCAACGACCCGCAGAACGCCCCGTCCAGGTCCAGGGGGAGGGGGGAGGGGAAGGGGGCACCCCCTCCCCGAGGAGGCAAAAGGGGGGCTAGAAGAAGGAGCTCCCCAAACCACTCACGCCCTGAAGGGCTGGTGGGATTAGAACGAGTGTCCACGGCGTCAAAGGGATAACCGACGAATGTGCACCACGTTGAGGCGAGAGCCACACCTTGAAAACGATCCGCCCGCAACCGGAGTAGCTGCTGCAAACATTTGAAACGAATGTGCGCGGCGCTACGGCGAGAGCCACGTGCTGACGGCCACCCGCCCTCCGTCCGTCTAGTTGCCAGACTACCGTGCGAGGAACTCCTCAGCGATTGTGCCGGCCAGCCCTTCCGACACGTCTCATGGTCCGACGAGGGAGGGTTATGTATCAGGAGGCGGGTTGGAGCATGTTGCGGATGCGCTGCAGGAGCAGAAGGCATCAGGACGGATGCCACGGAGTTTGAGGAAGGAGGATTCGGAGGATGAGGAACGATAATGGTGGACAAGGGAGATATCCTAACTGGGGTTTGGAGGGAGAGGGTGATGCTGATGCTGCTGATGATGCTGAGAAGGACGAGGAGGAGGAGGAGGAGGAGGAGGAGGAGGAGGAGGATGAGAAGAGCGGTCGACCAGTGAGGAGAACCAGGGAACGTACGAAGAGGGATGGCTGAGGGTAGGTGAGCGGTTCGCAGGGTCAGCGGATAGCGCGGGAGCGATTGGAGGAATTTTGCCCTCGCCACAGTTGCAACCAGACGCCAGAGAGAGGGCGCAGTGCCCCGTCGAGGCTGCCCCTGTGTTCTCCCCTGCCGTACCCGGTGCGTTGGCCTTCCGCCGCCGTCGTATGGGCGCCCGTGTGCCCTGGCTCCTTGCAGTGCGTCCTTCCTGCGTCTGACCGTTAGTGGTGTCCCTGCGCAGGACCAGATGCTCGGCATCCTCGTGGCCAAAGAGGAGCCCGAG